AACTGTTAGTGAACAGAGAATCACAAGAGCAAGTACTAAGAAGTTGAGGTACTAAAAAGCAGGTTGAAGGCAGTAGCAGCAGGGCTTAACCACAACGACAGCAAAAAGATGTTACATACAGTATTTGCTTCTTAATGTCTGGTCCAGATATAAATTGCATTTGTACAATGATGTGATGCATGTTTCTCTCTCTCTCTCTCTCTCTCTCTCTCTCTCTCTCTCTCTCTCCCTCCCTCCCTCCCTCTTTCTCTCACAAACACACACACACACACACACACTTCAGGAGCACACAAAAAGGAAGAATAGAGGGAATCAGTAGGAAGAGTTTAGTTTATTCTGACTATGTAGGAAGTTTGATCTAATTTTTATCTCTACTCCCTTTTTATTTTTGGTTGAAATAATTATTTTTAATTATATTTCATTAAAAGTATTGTTTTTAATTGTATTTTCTTCTGAAATATGTGGAGTGAAGGTTCTCCTTTGTTGGAAGAAAGATCAATTGAATATAACATTTCTAAGGCATTCCCTAATCTACTTCAAACTCCCCTTTTCTGTCATTATTGGTAGAGGAGCAGTGGCAATATAGCTTTTTATTATGATGAAGCATCAGGAGACATGCCACCTTCTTCGCCTGAGGACTTCTGCATTGGTGAACAGGAAAGCTTGTGTTATCTCATAGTACATATTACCATCATTTACTAGAGCTTCAAATTATTTCAGTAGTAATTTACGCATATCTTCAGATAAAAAGAGCATAAAAATTTGAGGAGAAAGAAGCACAGTCTATCCTTGCTCAATTCTGTGGACCATTCCTTCTGAAGATACCAGCCATGGTTGCTGGCAAAACATCTGAAAACTAAATCCTGAAACTTAGCACTGCCCAATAGATACCAGCCATGGAAGTCTAACCAATCTATTGTGGCACTTTGTCAATGCCATTTGAGAAAGAGGAAGGGTGACAAATTAGGATATAATTAGGTAAAATTGGAAGGAAGTTTTTTCTCCTCTTTGTTCTTAAAAGTGGTGAAGATTTTTAAGGCCATATCATGAAGAAGAACAATGGTTTACTAAGGTCGCCAGTTAATTCTTTTGGGTGGGAGCAAATAGTGTACTTACAGCAGCAGATGAGATGGAGATAGAAAGCTAAGATGCTGGAGCAACAAGATTAGCAGCTCTGCGGGGGAGAAGCTCAAGATCCCCCTCAAGCATAGTATTACCTCTTCCCAAAAAAGAATAGTAAAGAAATAAAAGGTTTATACTGTGTAGTAAAGAACTACAAATCAAACCTGTACTATTAGCCCAATCTGCATACTTTTAGAGTATCTTCTACAAAAAGCAAATGTTTTTTGTCCTAAAAAGGATACCAAGGTTGTTTTGATGCAATTTTTTTCTTCAAGGTACTGTTAGTATAAAACCTGCAAAGCTTGACTGTCTTTGACAGCTTTGTTTGTTTCCCAGATTGTAACTGACAGGATAGGTGTGTCTCATAGATCCAGGAGGAGATGGGGAGAAGGGCACTGAGCCCTTGTGATGAAACAGGCAATCTCCTAAGCTGGCATACCTCAGGAAGAACTACTAGTAAGGATAGGTGTACTGCTTATGAGGATTTATGCTTCTCTTGACTGAGATCATTCCTGGGAACTTAGACTATATTACTTAATCCCAAGTAACTATGTAATTAGTCAGTGATAAACTCTGTGGAAAGCTTAATTCTGCCTGTTAGAAGCAACAGCTGCAATGAAGGAACATGAAACCAGCTCATCCATGAGTAGACATGTTCCTCCCTTCTGCATCATATTTATGAATCATCTCAACAAAGGATTGATTAATGCTTACCATCTGCCTTATGGATCAATTTTAAGGAAGGACTGGCAAGCAATAGATTGAATGTGGCACATTGTCTTGAAATGCAGCTATTCTGAACTTGCTGATCTGACACTTTACTGTCTTTCAGGAATAGCGTACAATGTGTTGCTCCATCTGGAATGTACCATCCAAAAACTAAAGGTTATCCATGTAATCTTAGCATCTGAACATTACACGTTTTTCTGAACACAGAACCTGTGTTCTGTTCCATTATATACTTGCTTTCATGTGGTCTATCTTGAGCTCACTTGCTCCAGTAAAATATTTTCCTGATAATGTTGAAAAATCATGCTATATCTTTCTACCAAGAATCTGAAAAGAAAGGAAAATGCAAAACTGTTAGAAGTGAAAAAAGAATGAAGGGAAGGCAAGCACTTGCAGAATGAGCTCAGGAATTAATTGCTGAGAAAGAGGTGTGACTTGAATGAATTGAATGAGAACTAAACTTCTTGACATGCGCTGATTAGTTATCCTTTATGCTAAGCATAATGTTCTTTATGCTAAGCATAATGTTCTTTTTAAGCAAAACATTCACACATTGGATTAAGTCAAATAATATCTGATGATTCCTCCTTTTATTGGGTGTAAGTAACTATACTAATAGAAAACTCCACCCAGGTGGGGGGCGGGGCGGCAGGCGCAGCAGTTTTGGGGCACTCGGTCTCTAAAAGGTTCGCCATCACTGATATAGGGTCTCCTGTTTGAGCAGGATGTTAGACCTAAGGTCCTTTCCAACTCTGTTATTCTATTAATAATAAGAGTGCGGCCATTCTGTTTTAATTTAATGTGCTAATACAGACTTTGGTTAACCTTCAGTGTTCTCCTTTATATAATGATATTAGGTATATTATTAGTCATTTATAGGATTATGTGAGAAGCGTATCACTTGCTTCTTGCTATTGTTAAAGTAAATTTGTATTTTATAATAATAATAATAAAGTTGGAAGGGACCTTGGAGGTCATCGAGTTCAACCCCCTGCTCAGGCAGGAACCCTACACCATTTCAGACAAATGGCTGTCCAGTCTCTTCTTAAAAACTTCCAATGTTGGAGCATTCACCGCTTCTGGAGGCAGGTTGTTCCATTGGTTAATTGTTCTAACTGTCAGGAAGTTTCTCCTTAGTTCTAAGTTGCTTCTCTCCTTGATCAGTTTCCATTCATTGCTTCTCGTCCTGCCTTCAGGCGCCTTGGAGAATAGCTTGACTCCCTCTTCTTTGTGGCAGCCCCTGAGATATTGGAACACTGCTATCATGTCCCTCCTCGTCCTTCTCTTTGTTAAACTAGACATACCCAATTCCAGCAACCGTTCCTTATATGTTTTAGCCTCCAGTCCCCTAATCATCTTTGTTGCTCTTCTCTGTACTCTTTCTAGAGTCTCAACATCTTTTTTACATCGTGGTGACCAAAACTGGATGCAGTATTCCAAGTGTGGCCTTACCAAGGCATTGTAAAGTGTTATTAATACTTCACGTGATCTTGATTCTATCCCTCTGTTAATGCAGCCCAGCACTGTGTTGGCTTTTTTGGCAGCTGCAGCACACTGCTGGCTCATATTTAAGTGATTGTCCACTAGGACTCCGAGATCCCTCTCACAGTTACTACTATTGAGCAAGGTACCCCCTATACTATACCTGTAACATTTGGTTTTTCTTGCCTAAATGTAGAACCTTACTTTTTTCACCGTTGAATTTCATTTTGTTAGATAGCGCCCAGTGTTCAAGTCTGTCCAGGTCCTCCTGTATCTTAAGCCTGTCTTCTGGAGTGTTGGCTATTCCTGCCAGCTTGGTGTCATCCGCAAATTTGATGAGTTTCCCATCTATCCCCTCATCCAAATCATTAATGAAGATGTTGAAGAGCACTGGGCCTAGAACAGAGCCCTAGGGCACCCCACTACACATTTCCCTCCATGTAGATGCAGTTCCATTGAGGACCACACGCTGAGTACAGCCGGTCAGCCAGCTACGAATCCATCTGGTGGTGTTGCTGTCTAACCCACATTTTTCTATCTTATCGAGTAGTAAATTAAAAAATTAAAAAATATAGTTCATTAATCAGAAGCTTTGCATATCTGTGACCTACTTTTTGCTAAGGAAATGTCTGCATATTACTTAATCCTAGAGCACTTGCATATTTGTGTCCTTTTTTTTGCTAAGAAGAAACATCTGCATATTACTTAATCCTTGGACTTATGAGAACAAACATTAATGATGTAACATGTATGAGAACATGAACATAAGGGAATAGGTTGAGTCCACTTCCAGTTCCCCTGCCTGAACATAACTGGAAATCATAAGTTTGAGGCAGGCAGGACCGAGCTGTTTCTTTACTCCATTCCATTCACATACATCAAGTGCATAGAAGGGTCTTTCTCAACCTGAGGAACTTAAAAAGAACTTTAAGTAGTCTGCTGGCTGAGGAATTCTGGGAGTTGAAGTCCACACATCTTAAAGTTGCTGAGGCTGAGAAACGCTGAAATGGACCTTCTTTGAAAAAAATATTAATTGTGCCACATTTCAACTTTTAAATAATGTCCTTTTATTTGTAAAATTGAATAATGAAGATCTGTTTAAAATTGACTTACTTAGCCTAAATGAATGAAATTGGCCTGGAAGCAAATTGTTCACATTTGGTCATCTAATATAAAAACTGCTATTTTGAATAGTTTTGTTAATTGGGAGCCAAAAAAGAGAATCAACTTCCCCAATTATGAACATGTCTAAGCTTGAATCTGATTTCTATTCATTGTGAGTATATTTTATTTTTTATTGAGAAGGTACACACTGTACTTATTATTTAACTGATTAGAACCTACTTTTATTTGTGCCGTTAGGAATCTTTCATGTTACTTAATAGAGTTAGCACAATCACATAAAAAAGTGCATCTTTTCTCTCAACCTAAGTATGTTTCCTTTGAAATTATTGTTAGATCAGTTGTTCTGCATTCTGCATGTTCTAAAGAGACAGCATGAGTATTTTGAAGAGTGGTATAATTATTTTTCTGAACCAGTATAGCTCAGTCCTACAGTAAAGTTTATTTCTCTTTTGATACTAATGTCTTTGGCACATTTCATTAAAATAAAGGCTTGTTTTAATATCTCCTAAAAATGATACCACCTATTTTCTTCTCCCTTGCAGTGTAAATGAACTCTATGTGGATGATCCAGACAAAGACAGTGGAGGCAAAATAGAAGTAAATTTGAACATCAGCTTGCCAAGCCTACACTGTGAATGTGAGTTTTCCTTATTCAGCTAAGTTTACAGTTGTGATCGCAGAACTATGTTAGTTTCATATTTCACATTCAGATTCCTATGAGTAATACTTGTTCTTTTCTTGGAAAAAAATACTTTTTATGTAGAATTATATTCTTTTATGAATGACTTTTCTGGTGTTGCTAAATATTTATTTAGATAATAGTGTACTTGTCACTGTAACAAATGACAGGGCACTTAACAGAAAAGAGAAATATTTACTGAACACTCTTTTCTTAAAAAGGGCATGAGGAGCCAATTTGGCATATAATCTCATGTTTTCAGTACTAGGCAAAGAGCTTTTATGAAAAACAATGGTTTCAAAATGACTGTAAGGCTGTTGTAACTATTTTTACAAATGATGCGAGAGTCTGGATTTTCTAAGTAGAATTTGTACCACCAGCTCATATGTCATTGGATTTCTCTCTTCTGTTGTGAGAGAAGAACACAAAGTTCACTGAAGTGAATAGATCTGATGGCAATTGCTGTGCTTGTTGACTGGCCTCCTAAGTGCATCTTAAATTTTTGGAAGGCAATTAGTTACTAGGGAAATAGAAAGGGAAAACAAGCATCATTTATATCAGGTATTAAAGTATCACAGCTTCTGGGGATCTTAGCAATTAATACACATTTCTCACATAAATCTCTTGGGCATAAGCTCCTTTTTTATTTGAACTATTCCCGAAATGACTGAGTAGGATACAGTAATCATTTTCAGATGTTAATGGAATTAAAATTATAGGAGGGGCAAGCTATACTGCTATGTATGATACTAGATGTGATTTTTTTTAAAAAAATGTCTTATTTTTAATGCAGTCTACTGGTTCATATGTTGCTTCCTCTGATGGAGAGCTTCACAGGAGAATCTTATATATCATCTTTTTTAGCTTTATTATCAATAGTGTAATGGGAGAGAGGCATGTTCTTGAACATATATCCACTATGTTCAAGGAGAACCGCAGGAATTATGGAATAAACTTAAAAGAGGTTGTTAAAGATGAATGAAAGGAGACTGCCAAAAATACAGAAAGCAAATTGGATGTCAAAGGTAATCATGGAAATTGCCAAGAAGGGAAGCCAAAGTCAAGAAAGACCAAAACCTCAGAATGGAACTTAACTAGAGAGCTATTAAAAAAGACAAGAAGCAGTATTACAATAACATCTATAAAGGCATTGGATGTGGAAGCTGTAATGGAAAAACAAGGAAAGTCTTATAAAAAAATCTCTGTACCCAGAAAATTCCAATCTCAAATTAGTATGGTAAAGAGTGCCAGTAGATGTAACCAATTCAAAGGAAATCAAAGTAAAATGGAAGGAGTCTAGTAAAACACTATACAGTAGAGATGTCCATATCCAAGATTCCTTAGAAGATACTATTTACTTTCAAGGACCTCTGGTACGAGTGGATCAAGTTAGTTCAGCACTCTGGCCATTACCAAATTAGAAGGCTACAGGAACTGATGGAATAGCCTCTGAAATATGGCAAGCAACAGAAGAAGATTCAGTCAAGATAATCAGGTGGATGCCTTAGGTGTCCCTAAGCTTGAAAATAAGAAGATTGTTTTCTAATGGCAGAGATGATATATAGCGTATTCTATTAACTCATTCTCTGAACAGCCAAATTTTAGTTGTCTTTTCCTCCCATAATGTACTAGCAAGACAATTATACATGAGTCTTAATGACAAAGCTAAAAACCAAAAAGGAATACAGCAAAAAAAAACCCAAAACACAACAAAAACAATTTAAAAAAGATTACAAACAATAAAAAATTATATTAGAAAGGCTTTGGAGGAAGTACAAGCTATATTCCATTTATTCAGCTCTCTGTGAATGGGTTAACTCACAGGTCGGCAACCTGCGGCTCCGGAGCCGCATGCGGCTCTTTGAGCCTTCCCCTGCGGCTCCCAGCCTCCTCTGCCTTTGCAGAGAGAGACAGAGACAGAGAGAGGAATTGCGCTTCCCTGCTTCTCTCTCTCTCTCTCTCTCTCTCTCTCTCTCTGTGTGTGTGTGTGTGTGTGTGTGTGTGTGTGTAAAAGAGAGTGCACTCACAGTATTCTCCGAGGAGCTGAAAAGCTTACTGGGCGGAGCTCCTCCCTTTGCTGCGTCTCTGCAGGAAGCAGGAAAGGCAGGAGAGAGCTAGCTAGCCCAGCTAGGCTGACTCAGGAATTCTGGGAGTTGAAGTCCATGAGTCATAAAAGAGATGAGGTTGCCTACCCCTGATCTTGTTGGACAACAGCCTGAAGCTTGTCAGGTGAGCAGCAGATAAGAGAGGGGGGGAGAAAGAGAGAGAGAGAAAGAGAGAGAGAGAGGGAGAGAGAGAGAGAGAGGAAAGAGAGAGAGAGAAAGAAAGAGAGAGGGGGAAGAGGAGTGGCAGACCAAGGGCAGATAGAGAGGGAGAGAGAGAGAGACCCTTTTGACATCTAAAATGAAGATAACACTGCATATATCCTTTTTTACCCGTGTGTGTGTGTGTGTGTGTGTGTGTGTGTATACATACATACATATACATATACACACACACACACACACACACACACACACACACACACACACACAAACACACAAGCACACACACACCTATAATAAAGGTAAAAAAGGATATATGCAGTGTTATCTTCATTTTAGATATCAAAATGGTTTTGCGGCTCCCAGTGTTTTGTTTTTGGTGGGAAATGGGTCCAAGTGGCTCTTTAAGTGTTTTGGGTTGCCTACCCCTGGGTTAATTGATCAGATGCTTTGGGGAGCACTATTGAGCCATATCAAATACTAGAAGCTTGGCATAGCTTACTAAAGAAGAGTTGATAGTGGCATTCTAGCACTGACTCACTGAGTACTTCTGATAGTAGTAATCAGAATACTAAATTCTATGAGTTCATAAAACTAGGGGGAAATTAAATATTTAATGATGATTATTTTTCTATCTAGTTTCACTTTCATATAAAAATGGGGGAAACAGTGGATATCTTTGTGAAGTCATTTACAATACATTCTCTCTTCCTCTTTTTGATTCTGGTCTTTGACCTGTAGTGATTGGATTGGATATTCAAGATGAAATGGGAAGACATGAAGTTGGCCATATTGATAACTCAATGAAAATTCCTCTGAATAATGGAGATGGATGCAGATTTGAGGGTCATTTCAGCATCAACAAGGCAAGTAAAGCTGAAACCACAGGGGAAATGTTGAAAAGCTTTGAAAAAGAAACTGCTTGTATGTCTAGAGAGTTCAATGTGCTGCAAGAACTATGATTTAGCTCATATACCACTGCGGAAGACATACAGCTGTTTTAAAGTGGTCCTCATATTGTAAAGGAATGAGATATAAAATTTGTCATTTATGAAGAAGAAACAGGTTTGGTGTTAAGTTTTCCCCTTAATGGCATAGGTATGTGCAACTGTTTCTTGATCATAATAAGAGTAAGAAGGTATTACAGAAATAAATAATGAAATCGGAACCTCTTCCTGAATAAGTGCCTAGTTGACAGTTTTCATATAGCTTTGGTTCCTGGAAATCAGACTCTTGTTAAAAAAAATTGTTTTTATGTCTCTGTTCCATGGAATGTTTCGATGAGATAAAGCAATCTACAGTTAAATACACTTTCCATTCTGCTGTTTCAAGCAACAGTTGGAGTGTTTAGCAAGAAAATATCCCATCCTTATATTTTTGAAATAACTTGCTAATAAACACCATTCATTTCCATGCTGATCTTAAACAATCACTTTTCATTTTTGTATTCCACTTTGAAATATACTTTCCAAAATCACTGCCAGTAGTAGTTCCAGTTTATTGGGCATTAGTCAGATCCTATTTTAGGTACCCTCCAGTCTAAAGTCTAGGCATTGCAAGATTCAGACAAACTGAATAAGGTCAGATGAGGGAAATATAGTTCATCAGTGAAGAGTAAATTGGAGGAATTATGAATGTTTAGACATAGAAAGAGAAGACTGAAGAAAAATAAAGTAATACCATTCAAACATCTGAAAAATTACAGGGAAAAAAGTCATGATCTGTTCATCATAAATGTAAGTTACAGGAAAGCACACTTCAAATGCATTTTAAGGGGAAAAAACTATTTAAGACTTGAAAACTGCTTCTGGACTTCATGCTGTAAACAGGAAAAAAATGAAACTCTGATTTTAGGTATTGATGATTAGATTAATTTGTTTTTATAGGAATGGCTAGTACTCGCTAAAAAGATAAAGCAAAAAGTTGAGGTTGTAATTGTATTTTGTACCCTACTGCACTGAAAAAAAAGTTGGAAGTCACCCCCTTGTTTTTCTTTACCTCTTACCTTGCACACCTTTCCCCTTTCTTTCCCCTATTCCCTTATTATATTTGTCTCTGTTTTTGTTTTACGTTATAATAAATATCAACAACAAACTAATTAAAAAAAGGACTATTTAACAGTAAGAGCAATTTGATGGTAGAACCAGTTACTTATGTAAGGTGGGGTTCCCTTTACTGGATGTGTTCAAGCAAAAGTTAGACTGGAATGCTTTAATTTGGATTCGTGGATTAAGCAGGGTTAGATCTGATGTTCTGAATGGCTCCTTCCAACTTTTGGTTCTATAATATGTACACATGATTTCATAAGGAGAGGCATGGTGGCTCAGTGGCTTTATGACACTGGAGATGGTCTCTGCTGCCGATAGTCAGTTTGAGCCCTAGCACTGCCACCTTGCAGTTCAAAAGCATGTTCTATGCGAGTAGATAAATAGGTATCACTTCAGTGGGGAGACGAGTTGGTGCTCCGTACAGGCAGTCAGATTCCTGCCAATTCTGAACCTTCCCGATTGTGATGCCCATTTACAAAGTGGCTCTGGGGAAGGTGGGGCTTGAATGACACTGCAGGAAGAGGCACTTGTCTTTCTTTCTAGTGCGAAGCTAGCTTGTGGTGCACTGTAAGAAACGTGCAGGTGTGTACCTAACAGAGCTGGTAAACAGGCAGCCAAATCTTCAATAGCATTGTAGTCTCCTAGCTACTGTAACAACCCCATACTCTAATAATAATAATAATAATAATAATAATAATAATAATAATAATAATAATAATAATAATAATAATAATTTCATAATTAAATGAAACTAGTTTTAAGACTAGTTTAAATCGCAGCAGCAGCAACAACCTGTTACTGACACACTGTCACAATTGGAACTGTTACCCAGGGATGTGCATACAAATCACCAATTTAGAAGAAAAAGCTTGCAGTTTTTCTGTTGTCATAAGTACATATGCAACCAGACATTGCTGGAGAAACATTCTTTGTTCTTTCTGAAAAGAGATAAAAAAAATTTTTTAAAGATTTTTTATACTTCCTGCAGTTTTATAATTGTATGCATTAAAACAAATACTTTAGAAAGGGTATTGTATAATGAATTGTAGGACACATCTTTAATCCATTAAACTAGACATTTATTTTGACTAAATGCAGCAGGCCAAATTCTCAAGGAATATAGGAAAGAAAATTGAATATAATATTTACTGAGGCAAAGAGCATGACAGAAAGAGGAAATAGTGCTATATTGATAGATTCAGTTTTTGGTTCATCAGTGATAGGATTATTGTTAATGTGGAATTTTAAAGTGCTTTAGAGTTGATTCTGTCTTTCTGAAGAGCATAACAAATCTGCATGTTGCCTTTTCTCTTTTCTCATGAAAACATTGTATGCTCTGGCACAAGGCAAAGAACTGTAGCCTAATGCAGTACAATGCTGCCTTCTACTCCAAGGACCTCTTAGCTAATAAAGAATGACACCCTGATGGGACGAAACATCCTGATGTTAAAGAGTGAGGATATTCAGTTCTCAGGATGGGAGTAGAGCCAAAGTTTCACTTGCTAGCAGCCATGAAAAACCAGACCTGCTTCTCAGGACGGGTGTGGTGGCATTAGATAATCCAGCCATATAAGGCCACCTGTGACTCCACAGGGTGGAGCAAAAGGAGCGTGTAGCATGTTGTTGGTAAAATCAAGATGTACAGCCAACTCATTGCCTCCTGTTTGCACCACAGGCTATGAAATTGTACTGCCTATTAATTCAGGTTAGAATATGCCTAAAAATGGTGTGCAATCCCTCTTGCTCATTTTGCCATGTAACTATTTTTCTCGATAGAATATGATTGTTATTTTCTTTACAATGTTCTTTCATATTAGCTAGTTTCTTTGTTGACTAGTTGCAAGACCTAAAAGAATCCAGTGCAGGGTTTTGTTTTGTTTTTTGTTCTTAAATTCTAATTATGAACATTTAAAGGGGGGACTTAATTGTATAAGCCAGTGGTGGCGAATGTATGGCACGTGACATTTGGAAGTGATAGGGCAGGAAGTGAGCAAGCAAGCGGCGTTGGCCCCCCAGGGATGCCCCGGAGATGGCGAGGGAATGGCCCTGGCCACGCTCACCCAGTCTGCTGTGACCACTGCAGCCACACCCACCCAGTGGGCCACCTCCCCCTGATGCAGCCCTGGCACTTTGCCATAAATAAGTGGGTTTTGGGCACTTGGTCTCTAAAAGGTTCGCCATCACTGGTATAATTATTTCAGGCATTTCCAGGCATGGCTTAGCCTGCATCTTCCAGGTGTTATAAGTGTTTTGAAGTTTTAAATTACACATCAGACATTGATTGCTGATGATTTTACGCACAACAGAAACTGAACTTTGCTTTCTTCTAGGTTCCAGGGAATTTTCATATATCAACACATAGTGCCACTGCACAGCCTCAGAATCCTGATATGACACATGTCATCCACAAATTGTCCTTCGGCGACAAACTTCAGGTGAGTTCCGAGAACTACAGCTCTCAAGAAGGTTGTCCATCTTGTTAAATAGTTGTATGTAGCAAAAAGCAAGGCATTTCTATTCAATCTGATATGCTGATTTATTTCTCTTGTGACAAGTGAATACATCAGAAAAAAAGGCTATGTATGGTCAATTCCTTTCAAGCTATGAGATGGGTGCTTACCAACGTATGCATACTACATAGTTGGAAATCCATTTGTTTGTAAATGGCAAGGAGTTGCCAACTTGTGCAACACAGCCAGTAAGAATGAACTCATCTGTGCATGTCTCTTTTGTCTACTAGAAACAACTGCTAGGAATATCTAATGCAATTATGGGATCTATGTTTACAATTGAAAAGAAATATTGGTCGGAAATGAAAACGAAACGAAACAAGTTAGTTCAATGAGAAAAACATAATCTTATGTAACAGGATGCTTTCTGAATGTTATTTTGCAGCCTGTTAAAAATAGGCCTTGCTAGTATTAAGTCAAGTTTATTCTTTAAACTATAAAAGCTCCAGTTTGGAATTATTTGTTTGGTTATTGATTCCTATCCTTCTTGGTCCCCAGGAATTGCTTATTTATGGGAGTTCTTTAATTGCATTGGCCAGTGGTGACTCGCTATAGTTTTTTGTACCTTTGGGGGAGGGGGGGGAAGAATGCAGTGGCAACAATATATTTGGACAGATACTGTGAATATTTTATCTCACACATAGTTTCCATAATAGTTCTCAACAGTTTGTGCTCTTTGTTATGACTAATGGAAGTCTTGAGGGATTATTAACACTTTGTCTTCTCTATAAATGATGGGTGTGCTACAAGATAAAAAAAAGGTTATTGAGTATTTTTATTTGGTATGTGATTATATCTAAGTGTAGTACAAGACATATCTTCACTTATGCTCTATCTCAGCCTAGCCCAAGCTAGCATCTTCCAAATCTGATTGGAGTGCAACTCCCAAAGTTTTGGGAGTTCCATTCCTAACATAGTTAGAGAATGACAGGTTGGGAAACATTGCACAATCTGCAACACAGAGGTGGGACTGGGGATCTTATATCAGGATAAGTCCAGAAAGAGAAGTAAACATGGTAATGCACTAGTAAAGCTAAACTGCTGGGGATCATGGAAGTTTTCTAGTTTACTCCTGTTCAGGACAGGAATCTTCAGACCATCCCAGACAAATGGCTGTCTGATCTTTTCAAGAAAACCTCCAGTGATGAAACATCCTTAAGTTTAGGAGGCAGGCTGTTCCACTGCTTAGTGCCTCTCACAATGAGGAAATTCCTCCTTATTTCAAGTTTGGATATCTGTCTGTAATTCTTCTATCCCTTGTTTCTTGTCTTACTGTTAGGTGCTATATAGAATAAATCTTCTTTGTGTGACCTTCCCTCATGTATTGGAAAACTGCTAGCATGTCTTCACCTACCCTTCTCTTTACATGAAGCACACCCAATTCCTTTAATAACTCTTTGTAGTATTTAGCCTGCAAGAATCTTAGCATCTTTGTTGTTGTCCTCTGCATGTTTTCCAGTTCCTCAACGTCATTGGTGACAGAACTGGACACAGTATTGAAAGTGGTGCAGTCTGATCAGTGCAACATAGACCAATATGAAAAGAAGTTAATATATGTTGCTCAAGGTTCAACGATGAAGTCTTTGATGCTCTCTTAATTGGTTTTTTGCTTGCAGATGTTCCATTATCTGACTAGGTAACATCACCATTGCTTGTGAGTGTGTGGGGCTTGCTCTGTTTTTATACAGGAGCTTGCCCTATCAGTATTGGTGGAGGTGAGCTTTTATCATTGCATTTCTCGATTAGGATTTTCTTTTTGTTTGTCAGTATCAATCCCTGTTTATATAGGTGTTGGCTGCCAGAGAATATTATACTGGTCTTTTCATTTCTTTCTTGGATTTTATTGTCTAATATGAATGGTGTGTACATATGGTTTAGCTCTATGTGTTTATTGATGGTTGATTTGTTTGAATCTTCCAGAATTTCCCTAGTGTTTTTGGATTTAGCTTGGTCTAGGATGCTCACAGTTTTCCAATGAAACTATGGTTGAATCTGTCCATGTGTTGCGAGGTTAAGGATTTTCATTGTGTCTTTTCATTTCTAGTTGGTGTTCTTGAAATGTTCTCGGGCTCGAAAAAAGAAAACTGCCTTAAAATTGGTATCCTCAAACTTGAAACTAAATCAATCTTCTCACTGGTTTTATATTTCAGTCCAGATCATGAAAGTGTTTTGTCTTTGTAGTGTAATGGATTCACTGAGCTCATAACTTGGCATTAGCTCTGTTTTTTTTTTTTAAAAAAAAAATGCTGCTTCTCAATGAGCTGTTCGGATGACACATCTATGAATGAAGTTCTGTCAAAAACAGAGCTGCAGTCATGTTTCTGCATAATCTTTCAGTAGATGCTGTGCCACTTGGTGCAGGGCAAATCTTTTAGAGTGTTAATAATTTGAATGCCTCTTTAGAAAACCAGCTGCACCATCCTTTTATAAGTGTTATCCTTGTGTCAGTTGTTGCTTTTGTGTAAAGCACAAGACTTAGAAACCTTAATTAATCAAAGTTGATATTTTTTAAGCATTTTCATTTAAAAAAAATCTTATTGAAGTATGGTGAAACTCTTTGATACTTCACTTACCATTGTATGCTCAGAATTTAACTTTATAAAATTAGCTAATATATGCCAAGTATTGTAGATATGTTGAGATGCTTCGACTGCTTTAAGATACTTCGTTTATAAGATCTCTGACAATTAAAAAAAAATTGTTTCTGAGTAAGGAGGAATGATGACATCAATATAAAACTGTATGAAAATTGAAGAGGTTTCTTCCCTTTCACTTCCTCTTCTTCTAATCTCTGTTTAAGGATTATTTTATTTGTCTTTGGAGAGCAGAAAAACACATACTTAATGCAAAAATATATTCTGTGATCTTTGTCTCTTCAGGTCCCGAACATTCATGGAGCATTCAATGCACTAGGGGGAACTGACAGACTCAGTTCAAACCGTATGTACAATTTGTGGTGTTCAACTTATCTTGTATTAGTATAGAATTCATAATTGGAGAACCTTAGAAAACTAATTTGTATCATTGGTGGTCTTAAGCAATGAAATAAATTTGGGATGGACAGACTTGATTACTCTGGCTATAAAAGAGGCCCAGATCAATTATCTATAACAGCTTTCTTCAGTGTAGTAGTCTTCAGAAACATTTGAAGACAGTACATAATTCTCAGCCAGCTTAGTGACTTGGTCATGTTGCGAATTATACATGAGTACATCTGAACAGAACCAGGTTGGGAAAAAAATGGTCTCTTGGTGTTTTATATTAGTGATGGGTTCTGCAGCCAGGGGTTTGTTGGTTACTGTGGCTTCTTAGAGATATCTGACACCTGAAGAAGATACTATAAATTTGTCTCTAAGAGCAACTTCAGAAGACTTGTTGGGATTGACCTTCAGAGGTTAGCTGCAATTTACAAAAGCTTATGCCTTTTAATAAAATTACTTAACCAGAAAAGATGCTGTCAGACTCCTTCTGATATTTTGCCACTACAGTCTTGCACAGATCTACCTTTGCAAAACTTCCATGTATGTCCATGTATGTTAGAAGGAAAGAAACAAAGATAAAAAGAGTTGGTGCAAAGAGATGCAAAGTTTTAAGAATCATGTATATCAAGAAATGAGTCTAATCCTTGCCAACATCTTTCTGCTTGGCATTTCCTTCCTGTGTATTTACTTACAGGAGGTAATAAATTAGACTACTTTAAGGTAACTGTAATTCTGAACTACATTATTCCATTTAGCTGTTACTGAAAGACTAGTTCCTGTCCTACAGAATTTCTGTCTTTGCAATGAGATTATGTTTCAAAACCCCATGATGTATCTGTCCAGTTTCCTCTCAAACAGTCAGATGATTTCTTCAACTTTAAATATGATTACCCTTCATTGGTAGTAATATGACCCATGACATAAATGTAATGCTTTTTTTAAAAAGTGATTTGAATTTCAAATGGGTCAGACTGAACGAATGGAAAATTATATACTATCTCCAAATTACGTTAGTATTGAAAACTTTCTAATGTATATAATGATTGAGAGTTGCAAATCGGAATAATATTTCAATATCTGGTCAAATTAGATTTTTGTTTTACTGGAAAAATTATTGAATGTGTAAAAGCATCTGGCAGTGCACAAAAAAAAAGGATTAGATATATTCTTGTATATTAAGGAAAAATTAGGACAATTAAGTGTGTATTATTTTCAGTTGGAAATAATTCAAAACAGATTAATCCAGGTTCAAGACCAGTACTTATACGCCAGAACAGCACTTCTGTTGTTTTTTTGGTTTCTCAAAAAAGAGGTATATTCTGTTTACACAGCCCTTGCTTCTCACGATTATATACTGAAGATTGTTCCTACTGTGTATGAAGACATGAGTGGCAAACAGCGCTACTCATACCAATATACTGTAGCCAATAAGGTAAAGATATTACATCCCTTTCTAAAAAGGCTTGATTTAATATTATTTTCCAGTCTTGTGTCCAAATTTGCTCTTTCAATATGTATTTGTTTAAACAATTCAAATAGCTCCCTCTCCTGGAAGACTAGAAAAAAGAAAATTAAAAAGTAAAGTTGAAGTATTTAATTGGAATGTATTTCAGTCGGTCAATCTGATAGGAATGGAAAATTCTGTTTTTTAAAGTTCCCAATTTACAGCTCAAAAACACACCCAAGCCCATTGATGTGCTTAGATATGAATATTCAAATATATATTTTTCAACTCCATGCAATGAAAAATATTATTTGCAGATTAACATGGAAAAAGGATAGATATACTTGATAAACTGCCATAAACTATAAATTGATTGACCAGTCATTGCTTCCTGCTTTGTGAGTAACTGTCTTGTATAATTGAAGCATGGCTGGATTAATGAATTTTGAGATAGATCCTTCCTATCCGTTAGGTATATTTTTCTCTGTCCAGAGTATTGCTTCCTTTTACAAAAACTCCTGCTTAAACATTCCTATAGTTCTCTTCAGCCCTGCTAATCTCATATAAAAGAATTTACTTTTACACAGATTTCCTACTACATGACTTCATAATGCTATGTTCTGAATTCTTTTAAATTATTATTCCTATTGCTTTCATTGTTTCTCAAGATCTTTTTAATATGCACTTCAATAGAAGTTTATGACCTTTTGAACTTCAGGAATTTAAAATCACAGGATCTAAAAACATTGATTTTCTCTCATAGCCCAGAAAGTTGTAACTGCTACTTTACTGCACAAGAGGTGTTAATTTTGTAATATCCATAATTGAGTTAGATCAAGATGTAGTCATACGTGGAGTAGGCCCTGTGAAATTAGTATCATAAAATCATTACTAGTTTAAGTCCAAATGATTTTGAAGTGCCTGCTCTTTAAAGTTAACTAAATCTGTATTCCATTAATCATCTTACAGATTATCAGTATTTAAGGGGAAAGTGAGTAGGTGCATGCAGACTTCTTAAGTGTCTGTTATATATATATATATATATATATATATATATATATATATATATATATATATATATATATATATATATATATTTATTCTCTGCCATGCATCCTTTTTTAGGAATACGTAGCATATAGCCACACAGGTCGCATTATTCCAGCCATTTGGTTTCGCTATGATTTGAGCCCTATTACAGTGAAGTACACAGAAAGACGACAGCCTTTGTACAGATTTATCACGACCGTAAGTAACTGTTACCCTCTTGTCCTTGCTGATTCATAAGCTGAATGTATATGCTAGAGATTTAAGTCAGAAAAGAGCTGAAATGCTGAGCTCTCCCAGACGCATCCAGAAAAGAGAAAATGGTTCAGATAGGAAAATGGGGAGGTATTGGATGCTTTGGCCTAAAGGCTGAGACATGGAGTGGGGAGTGTAGGGGGAGGGGTTAAATTGTGGATTTTTAAATTTGATTTTAATGTTGTAACATTTAATGTAGCATTTTGTAAAAGATTCTCAAACTTGTATTGCCACAGTTATATTTTCAAACATCATCATAGTATGCAAAGATTTTATTTTCATCACACACTGTAATCCTGCCCTAGAATGCTAGAATTCTAATATTGTAATATTTAATTAATCTGTATTTGTTCTCAAGGAATATCTGCACATTGATGTTTTCTTTGCCTCCCCCTCCACCTCCCTCTCCCCAATACCACATCTTCCTGCTGAAACTGATTAGTGCTTACTAAAAAGTAATTTCAACTGCCCTTGCTAGTTTTGAGGAAACCTTTTGTTGTACCAGATGGGATCGTCCACTTTACAGTTCCATCTAAACTGTATGTTTTAAGGTGGATTCCAGTGTAACGAAGTAAGAATTTCAAAGATTGTTTTGTACTCCATTTAGCTTTAACATTTAGTTAACTTACTTTTAGTTTCTTCCTTCAGTCATGGCAGAGTTGTGAGAATGTATACAACAAATTAGCACCTTCTGTTCTCCAGCCTTTGCATTGGATGGAGATATAAATAGTGGCTGATAACATAAAAAAATCAAATTAGCAAGAAGTTGCACTATATCAGGGAATTGCTCGGCTATGCTTTCTTGTACAGGTAATCCTTGACTTATATCCGGTCGCTTAACAGAATTGCAACTTACCTAGAAAAAGGGAATTAGGATCCAGATTCACAGTTCCACTGGTTTCCCCCTCCACATACTTCGGACAGTCAGCAACATTACTGTATTTATAGCCGTTTGCAGTACACTGCAATCATGTAACCACATTTTCTAATGGTTTTGCCGAAAACTGGAACCCTATCATAATGAACAATGGGTTCACTTAATGACTGCATCACTTGTTTAATAACCATAGGTGGAGAAACATGGTGGCCTAGTGGTGAAGACACTCACATCCCACTCAAAAGGTTGAGAATTCAATCCTAAGTGCTGGTAGATGTTTCTCTCCTGGGACGCAAAGAAAATAACATCTGCTGTGAACTCTGCGTGGCATCAGGAAGGGCATCCGGCCAGTAAACACTCAACTCCATCCACTTTACCCTAAATTAAGGGATTACAGAATCATAAAAAGGGAGATGTTTTTGAGTGTTTGTTTTACAAATATTGTGTTTTCATAATGACGGCCACAAAAATGATCATAAAATATGAACGGTCATGTGACCAACCCAATTTACGACCATCATGACATATAACCTTAATTGGCAGGCTCCTTTATGGTTGTATGTACTTTAGTGAAACATTTTTTTTCTTTATTATATCTTTATTATGTTTATTATATCTCATTACGCTAATACATTATGCTAATACAGTAGAGAGAAATGTAGTTTGTTCGTTATGAAATCATGACTTCATGGAACTGTAGTTATACAGCATCTGGAGGGCCACATATTACACACTATTCCGATACATCATTCAGTACAAAACAGAAAAGTAAATGTAAATTTATGTTTTCAGGTCTTCTTTTGTTGTAATTTGTGGAATCTTTGAATGCCAATTGGCTTTTTATTTTAGTACTCTTTTCCTATTCCTTATCATAAGCCTTGTCATTTGCCCATTTGTCCTGGTTTCTGATCTGTTCTATATGTTAATAGCAGCTTGCCTATTTTAGCATTCTTCCTTTTCTGAATCTGCTTCTTTGGCACCAGGATCCAATTGAACTTCTCACATCTTGGCTTGTTTTCTAATGCTAATAGACAGAGTATGAAGTCAACAAACAATCATGTTCCAGATTTAGGTCTAAAGTTCTTCATGGAAGGGATAATGCCTGTTCATATGTGCTTTAGTGATATCAGCCTTTTTTCTATTATTATTAGAAATTCTTCTTGTAAATACTGTCCTTGCAATTCTGTTATGTTGAAATAACCAGCCTCTTTGCTAGGACAAAAACTAGAGTAGGCTCGTAGGACAAACAACAACAACAACAACAGAGTTGGAAGGGACCTTAGAGGTCTTCTAGTCCAACCCGCTGCTCAGGCAGGAAATCCTATACCATTTCAGACAAATATTATCTTAGGCTTTTCAAACCTAGCAGAGTTACTCTCCAGCCCATTACCATTTTTGCTGTCCCAAGTCCCTACTGCATCATGATTGACCTGGAGTTGAATTGGAGTTTTCATGATTGTAGAGAGGGCTATAGCCTTCTGGCCCCACAAAAATTATTCATTGGCTCAACATAAGAGGAACTAGGGACATTATTTATATTTTTTGTGACTCACATCTTCACACAGTTCAGAGTATTCTTCTGGCCTTGTCCTGTTTATTGACTGTCATATAATCATGAAATAGTGACATTTTGTGTAATAAATGTCCTAGCTCATTCATTGTTGAAGTGAAATGGTGGCTGTCCTAAGAAAACCAGTTGTTTCTACAGGTTCAGAGAATGCTCTGTATGTGGGGGTGTTTCATTTTTTAAATAGAAGTGGAATTATATTTTTCTTATGTTTAGAAATGTGAAGTCATACTTTCCTGCTTCGATGCATCAAGTATTTCTCCGTTCCCATCTTGTGGTTTAAAACCTCTTGGGTCAGCTGATTTGTATTGATTGAAGTTACCTAACTCATTCTGTTGTCATATTCCCTAAAAAGTAACTGTGCATCACTTTTGGTAGAAGGCAGGGTACATGAACTAAGAGGAGTAGCTGGGAAAAACATTTTACTTTGCAAAAAGAAAAAAAATGTAAAGAGATCAGTTTCTTCCATTTCTTTCTGTGGTTTTTATTTCCCAGAATTTTAGCTATGCTTTGAAAAATGCATTAACTTATTTCTTTTTTTCACGGAAACATATTTCCATGTCACTGAGCTCATTGGACACAAATATCTGAATGGAAAATACACACAGAAATTAGCAATTCCTTCCCCACTGCTTCTGTTACTGTTATTGAAATTCTATATATAGGTAATCACGATCACCGTTGAGCCCAAAATTTATATTGCTAAGTGAGACATTTGTTAAATGAATTTTGCCCCATTTTACGACCTTTCTTGCCATAGTGGTTAAGTAAATCACTGGAGTTGTTAAGTTAGCAACATGGTTGTTAAGTGAACTTGACTTTCCTATTGACTTTGCTTGTCTGAAGGTTCCAAAGAGGATCATATGACAATGCAGCCGTCATAAATATGAGTCAGTTACCAAGCGTCTAAATTCTGATCACATGATATGGGTTGTAAGTGTGAAAAATGGTCATAAGTCACTTTTTCAGTGCAGTTATAACTCCAAATGATCACTGAACAAGCTGTTGTAAATGGAGGACTACTGTACCTGTAATCTTATTCCTAGTTCCCTTTGCAATGGAATAATTATTCTTTTAGGTAGCAATCTCAGTATTACATGTCCTGTGTACAAGAATAATAATGTTTTTGTCAAATTTAGTATGTAGCCCAAAAAGATAAACATCCTTCCCAACTTAGTGTTCTGATGGCTGCAATTAGCATAATGCCCAGCCAGTTAAGGGGATTGAGGCCAACATATCTGGAGGGCATCCAGTTGGAAGAAGGCTGCTATAATGTCCATCCAGAAGTAAATTCCATTGAAGTCACTGACAGCTAATGTTCACAGGATAATAGTCTCGCATCGCCGAAATCCTGTACATGTATATCCAGACTGAGTTTAGTCAGATATACTCCTAAAACAGTGATTAAAGAATGCTACTCAAAATAATCTGAACAGCACTAAACAACTGTAACTAGAAGCAACCACAACAGAGGGAAGAAAGGAATGGAGGAAGGCAGAATGGGAAGCAAATGTCACCCCAGTATATTTTACTTCATGAATGGGGTGATTAATTGGGAAGATCCTTAATGCTATACTGTACTTAAATGACATGATCTCAACCCAGTGTGATTCTAATGTAGCCAGGAAGAATGAGATGAAAGGTAGAAAAAGAGTTAAGAAGCACCCAATTTTTTAAGAGGAATATTTATGAAGATGTAAAGAACTCAGAAAAAGAAACCAACCACAACACTAAGGAGTTTTATACTGTATTTAAGAAAAGGCTCAAATTTTTATTTAGTTCATGGATTAAACTTACATTAACTGCAACTAGTGTGCCTGAGGAGATCTTTCTGAGGGTTGTGGGGAAGGAAATTGGAGGGGAGGGCAGGGAAGGCAAACAGTGCTCAACGTTTCCTTCTTCTTTATTCATTTCAGATTTGTGCCATCATTGGTGGAACATTTACTGTGGCTGGGATTCTTGACTCCTGCATTTTTACAGCCTCTGAAGCCTGGAAGAAGATCCAACTAGGAAAGATGCAGTAACAAAGCAGTCTTCAGCCTAGTTGTGTGTGAAGAAGCATACAAGAAAAAGCCCACAGCTATCGACTTTTCTTCGTATCATTTCAGTTGACACATGTCACACAAGCCGTTGGAAACATAAGGGTGCAGAAAGAAATAAACCTCCCGAACAACCAATCATAGTCTTTGAAAGTTAGCATCATTTGCAAGGGAATGTGGTTTTATATGTACCATTGTCAATCAATGTTTTTTTTGAAGTTTATTATCATTTATGATTTAAGATTAGATCCAACAGATCTAAAGGGTATAATTATGTTTTGAAATCTCGAAAGGTGACTTTGGATCAAGATTTTTAGTTATGTAACTCAGATTTTATCCAAGAATTACAGAACTCGACAATCATACAGCACAGATAGTCCTCGACATACAGCCAGTCATTTAGCAATTGTTTGAAGTTACGACACATCTACTTTGGGGCTACTTATGACCCATATTCAAAGTTCCAATGATAGGGTCTCCCCCTGTACTCAGGTGACCAAACTTCGGGCATTTGTTGACCACATTTGCAGCAATTTGTGGCATCCGCATTTATGATGATTTGGGGCAAAAACTGGAAGTTATTTTCAATTTTTGGCAAAACTACATTGATAGTGAACCACTGGTTTGCTTAATGACCATGGTATTCTCTTAATGACCGCAGTGGCTGCTTTATGACCACAGCATTTGTTTTATGACTCATGATTTATGACCGTGATGACCAGGCTCCATTATGATCATAACTTAACGACTACCTGTACTGTTTTTACTGAACAATAATATTGATTTCAATATTTAAACAATATTTCATTTTGTTTAAAAAAAACTAACCCAAATGTTCAGAACAGTCTATTGATCTTTTTGCATTATGTATTTTCCAGATGAATAGAAACAAAGAACCTGTGAACTTGTTATCTTTTTGGCAGCTGAGAAACTTTTCCTGGGTGATGGTTTAAAATGGGTCCGCAACCTGTGCATGCACTCACCTTTACACACTCGTGCTAGCGCCACCCTGAGCATCCCGCCAGCGCTAGTGCCGCCCCGCCCCCAAACTTCCTACTGGCGCTAGTGCCACCCTGAGCATCCCACTGCTGCTAGCGCCGCCCTGCCCCACTCCTGAGTGTCCCACCGGCTCTAGTGCCGCCCTGTGCATCCTGCCAGCGCTAGCGTCGCCCTGCCCTCAAGCATCCCACCCATACTAGCGCCGCCCCAAGCATCCCGCCGGCGCTAGCGCTGCTCCGCCCCAGAGTGTCCCACTGGCACTAGTGCTGACCATAGCGTCCCGCCAGCGCTAGCCATTTGCTAGCGCACATGTAGTGGTGCCTGCCTCCCTTTCCGGGCTGCCAAATCAAAAAGGTTGGAGACCTCTGGTTTAAAAGGTTTAATCTTCCCAGGATTTGATTCTCTAGCAGCAGAAAGATGATAGTAATACTTTTATTCTTCTGGAAGGTTGAAATATTTGTACTTATTTTCCAACAATATTTGATCAATAATAGAAGTGGCCTAAAACAATAGAAACAATTAGAAAAAATAAGGAGTATAAATAAGTCTCATTTGTAAATAAGGCAGATTATATGTTTTTGTATTTGTGAGATTTCTCTCTTACTTTTTGAAATACAGATCATTCAGCTGCCTAGGTCAATATTTTTAATTTAAAAGAAAAGCGATGAAGACAACACTCCAATTGGTCAATACTCCAATAGGTTAGAAGAGCATCATGTTAAAATAGAGGAATGTCTTCCATAAATACTGAAAATACAGGAAGTTATCTTTATCTTTTGGAAATCAAGTCATTGCACAATAAGATGCTCATCTTTGAAATGTTAATTTCCAAGAAATTTCTACTTTGCTGATTCTTAAGAGATAAGTACCACACTGTATAAAAGGAAACACATTTTGTACGTGAACATTTTCTTCTGTATCTGTTCTGAGTATAAAATAATTTTTTATTCCATTCTGCAGGGAGTAGGGAGACAAAATGATAAGGCAAATATTGTGCATGTTAATAATTTTTATATGATGTTGGCATTGATTTATAGGGACTTTCAATAGAACCCACCAATTTTCATAACTACAAATCTTTTGATATACAGCATGACTCATAATTTGGGAATGCTTTGTACATTTTATAATCACCTAAGATGGATGCAAATGATGTATTCTCTAGCTTTTCTGTACCCTTAAAAAGAAACAGTAAGATTACTGATACTACAGTTTGGAAACAGTCATTATTTCCTGTCAGAATAATATGTGTGATCTTTTAAGGGTGACCTTTTAAAATTTGAAAGTATCAAATCAATATGCTCTGATTAAATTGCTTTGGGCCAGAAATCCTTTATCTATTGTTCTATGGTTCTTTGTTTTGGAAGTAAATCCCATTACTTCAGTGGGACAAACTTGTAGAAATGCATGCTCCTCCAATTTGCCCAACGTGTCTATTTTTACTTTGTTGCAGGTATAGAAAATGTATTTTTCTTATCTTGAAATTCTTGCTGATTATTTTACCTTTTCTTTCTTGAATTTTCTGTAAAACATTTAGAAATTCCCACAATTTTTCCTTAAGAAATTATTTTTCTTCTGATGGATTTTGTACTATTTGCATGGATTTTATATATTTTTTCCATTTGTAAAAACATGAAAACAATGTACACATAGTAATTTCTGATTGCCTACGCTTTGCTCCTGTGGAAATGAAGATGAATCTTTTTGAGGTGGAAGGTTTTGTCTGTCGCATTGTTGTTTTGCTTCAGATTTTGTTTTTTATTAAGAAAAAAAGATAAATGCAAGATAATGCTAAATCAACAGAATATTGGCTTAAGTAAAAAAAACATAGAACACCTAATATTAAGAAGACCCACTGAGATCTCTTTTTTTGCTAAATTTTCTTTATTTTGTTTTTGAACTCATGCAGTAGTGTGATTAAGTCAAATAACATGTCTGTTAGAGTAGCAGTGAGTTTTAGATTTCCCTATATTGGGAGAACAACATGTATTTCAATGCTAATTCTGCAGGAAAACGTTAGTTACATGTTGTGTTTTTAAGTACCACTGTTAAGAGAAGTTAATTTGTTCAATGTATGATGCCTTTACATTAGTCGGGGAATTATTAATGAACATTCCTAGTCTCATGTATCCTAGTCTCTGTCAATCATCTCCGTTTTCATTCGTTCTTGGTTAAAATCTGTATGAAAATGCAGGGGAGCTTTTCCTAGGACAGTGGTGGCGAACCTATGGCACTGGTGCCAGAGGCGGCACGCAGAGCCCTCTCTGTGGGCACGTGTGCCGTTGCCCCAGTCCTAGGCCTTCAGCTGGGTTTTATAAAACCTTTTCGTTTTAGGCCTCCGCCACCATGTGCAAAAAAAAAAAAGGTTCAATCAGTCAATTACAACTTCTCGTGGGGAAAAAAAAAGATCTTGCAAAGTTGGAATTGACTGAACTTTTTAGTCCCACCCAATCTGCCATTACCACTACAGCCATGCCTACTCAATGGGCCATGCCCACACGGCACTCGACGATGCATAAGTGGGTTTTGGATTGCAGTTTGGGTACTCAGTCTCTAAAAGGTTCGCCATCACTGTCCTAGAAATTAGGCAAGAACTCATGCCAAGTCTGCATTATAGTAATCGTGCATTATTTGTACAGTCCCTTCACTGCACGCTTGCCTCCTTGGAACCAGTTCAAACTTTTCTCACTCCCAAAGAGGAAAGCAAGCATAAGTAAATACGATCCAATTCAAACGCACAGAATCACTTAAAAATGCCTTGCAATTTGAGAGGGGTCGTTGCTATTTCTTTAGTTTTGCGGTCTATTCCATTTCATTACCACTAAAACAAAACAAAACGCGCGCGCGCGCACGCACCCTCCAACGAGAATTTTTTCTGAAACTTTGTGTCCTATATATGGGGGACGTTCAAACGAGGGGACAGTCAAAAGAAATGGGCGACGGAAGAATGGAATGAATGAAAGCTTTAACTTGAGTGAATAAGTAGGACGCGGCTTTTGCGAATGGAAAGAGAAAGAACGAACGGGCGAATGTGATCTGAGCCTGAATCAAAAAGGTGAGAAAATGCATTGATAATACGGGAATTGAGACGCCCAGCGCCACTTGCTATTACTTCTTTGCATGGACGCAAGGTGGCGCCGACCCACATCTTTCTATTCAAACTTTCTCAGAGATGAGGCAATTCTCGCGAGATCTCGAGGAAAACTCACTAGAACCGGCGGAAGTAGAAGCAAGCTCTTTCCGGGCGGCCATAGCCGATTAAGCTGCAGGTAAGGATTAAATGGAGGAGTGGACTTTTGTAATCCGCTGTCATCCGTTCGTTGGCGGTTTATTCTCCGTTGTGATTTGTGAAGAAATGCAAAAAGTGGAGAGTCTTTCGTTGCCGCTCCTGTATTTTAAGCAGTAGAAACTTCAGAACGTCATTTCTATGGCGGCCCTTCTGCCCGTCTATCTCTCCCTGCTTGGGGGCCTACTAATATCTGATGGGGCCTGTAAAATCTGCTCCAGGGCATGTTGTCTTCAAGCTGCTGCTAGTGTCTTATTTGAATGGCAGTGTAGACTCGAGGGCTATTTGTTCAGCCTCCGCAAGATGAGAGCTTAGAACAGTCACTTAAAATCGTTCGGAGTTGGCTTGCCGTTTTTCATTTCAATATTTTGGTCCCCCTGAGTTGATATTGAAGAAATGAACTCTTTTCAAAATTGGTCTGCTAGTCCCCCTAATGAAAGTATTAAAATTATTTATTTGGGGATCGTTATGACTGTTGCAATATTTCAGTTAATATCTTACATAAGTTTGCAAAGAAATAGGTATTGTGAACATAGTGAAATTTAGGAGTACTTCTGGTTTTGACAGTTTTGACAGGAATTTTTTGACAGTTACATTCTTTGTTTTCAGGTTACTAACTGAACTTTTTACTGACTTTAAGAGACATAATGGCAAATATACGTAGGAAAATGGTTATTTATTGTAGGTAAAAATATACAACCTGACAGGACTATAAGCTCTCACGGTTTTATTGGTTATGTTGGTATTTAGAAATACTACACTGAAGATTCATAATCTCGGACCTATATAGAAAGTATATTGTTAGAGGAGGAAAGAAATAAAATGTGTGTATGTTTTATAAACTGGCATTTCAGTTGTCATATCCCTATCCTTATGTCCAGAATGCAAAAGTAGCTTGGAATTCCCATAGATATAAGTGATGTTACCTATACATTCTGACAATAATATACTCTTGGCCTAAAAAAAATACTACAATTATATCTGCCTAGTTCTTACAATTATTTCATTTTATAGCTCTCCATCTCAAGTGATTTTACGTTGCATACATTCTAAAATGTAGAAACAATCAGTTTAGATATCAGTATAGATATAATTGGCCAATTAGAACTATTGCCATGGATGTTAATACAGACAAGAAGAGGCCACACTTTAACTCACTTGAGATCCTGAGTCCCAGGCACACAACCAAGTCTTCATGATCTTATGAAAGGTCAACATGATTGGGTTCATCTTGATTTCTGAAGGGAAAATATTCAGAGATCAGGAACTATGGCGGAGAAGGCACATATCCTAGTTCACAACAACTGGCATTCCTTGGCAGATGTGACCTGTAACATGCCCAACCTGCTGGGCCAAATTGGATGGGTAGAAACAACTGGGAGAAGACAGTCCCTTAAGTAACCTGGTCCAAAGCTATGAAGGGCTTTAATAGTGATAATCAGCACCTTGAATTGTGCCTGGAAGCAAACTGGCAGCCTGTGTATAGCAGTTGCAATCTTAATATATTTCTCAACGAATACTTAATTATATAATGTGTGTTTACTCCAGTCAAAATGAAGTTCAATCCATTTGTGACTTCGGATCGCAGCAAGAATCGCAAACGGCACTTCAATGCTCCATCTCACATTCGGAGGAAGATCATGTCTTCACCCCTGTCCAAAGAATTGAGGCAGAAGTACAATGTTCGCTCTATGCCCATCCGAAAGGACGATGAAGTTCAAGTATGTGAAGCTCTGTGTTTCTTCTATGAATAATAATGAAATCCATAGCAATTAAACTAGTACAATACAAGGGGAAAAAATAACCAAAGCGGTACATAATGAGTCCATAAATCACATAAATTCAGCTTCTCTACTACTTGGGGAAGACCCAAGTTTTAACAGCCTTCTGGGAGGCTAAGGTGGTTGGAGCTATCTGAATGTTACATAGGACAGGAACTTCAGCAGAGAAAGTATAAATTTATTTATAGTGAACTCATTACAGCGGAGTCTCTGAGTTAAAATCTTGCTTCCCAGGTTTTTTGTTAGCTTGGGTTAATTTGCTATGTTAAGACTGCTAGTGGACTCAGACCTTGTATCTTTATTGTTTATATCTGCAATCACTTCCATTCCATTCCCAGCTTCCACTATCTCTTTCAGTCATAACTGCTTTAAGGAGCACCTGAAGGCAGGACAAGAAGCAACGGGTGGAAACTAATCAAGGAGAGAAGCAACCTAGAACTAAGGAAAAACTTCCTGACAGTGAGAACAATTAATCAGTGGAACAACCTGCCTCCAGAAGCAGTAAATGCTCCAACACTGGAAGTTTTTAAGAGACTGGACGGCTATTTGTCCAAAATGGTGTAGGGCAGCGGTTCTCAACCTATGGGTCGCGACCCCATTTGGGGTCGATCGACCATTTTTCAGGGGTCGCCAAAGAAGGCGATCCGCCATTTTCTCCCCTCAGGGGGCGCCTGCGCAGCGCGCAGGGGCGGCCCCGCGCATACGCAGAACGTTTGTGTGACGGGGGTCGCCGTCACACAAACGTTGAGAACCACTGGTGTAGGGTTTCCTGCCTGAGCAGGGGGTTGGACTAGATGACCTCCAAGGTCCCTTCCAACTTTACTATTATTATTATTATAACAATAAACTGGCTGACACATTTGCTCCATCTAAAGCATACAGTATTCTTGTGTTCAAGTCTTCATTGCTTCACAACTACAACTAGTGTGGTTACTATATTACGAGTGTATGAACTCATGTTAGGATGCTAGGTTCATTCATAAATTATTCTTGCACTTCCTGCTGTTAAAATTAATATTTTAAGAATTGTATTAAAATGCAATAATTTAAAGAATAACAGAGATATCTTTATTTCTAGGTTGTTCGGGGCCATTATAAAGGACAGCAGATTGGCAAAGTAGTCCAGGTATATAGAAAGAAGTATGTTATCTACATTGAGCGTGTACAGCGTGAGAAAGCTAATGGCACAACTGTACATGTGGGCATTCACCCTAGTAAGGTGAGTTTTAATCAGATGATTATTTACACACATTTTATACTTGTATAA